TGTGCTTCTCAGTGGCCTGCTTGTCTGCCATGTGCTTCTCAGTGGCCTGCTTATCTGCCACATGCTTCTCAGTGGTCTGCTTCTCTGCCACGTGCTTCCCGGTAGCATGTTTGTCTGCCACGTGCTTCTCAGTGGCCTGCTTATCTGCCATGTGCTTCTCGGTAGCATGTTTGTCTACCTTAGGCTTCTCGGTGGCCTGCTTGTCTGCCACATGCTTCTCTGGGATTTCCTCTCTGCGTGGGCCAGTAGCTTGAGGACCTGCAGCACTTTCCCTTTCCTTATTGCTCTTCTCTTTCTCTGCTTTCTTCTTCAGTGTTTCCTGGCTGGGAATAGCGGGAAAGCGGTACCTTACAGGAGACCCTTGGTATGGCGGCTTCACAGTCTTTGGAGACTGAGGATATGCTTTTGAAGTTGTTCTGAAAAACCAAAACCAAGTCATAAGATGATTAATGGCCCTGACCACAGAACTTTGACAGCCTAAGACATCTCCAAAAGGCTGAGTAATTTCATCCTTTGAGAAGACAAAATACAAAGTACATACTAACAAGTCTCTAAAGTAGGCAAAGATATAGCTAAGTTGGTAAAGTGCTTAATGATGGGTTTCTTGCCTCGCTGTAATTCCTGCTGAGTTGCTATGGCATCCAGCCAATATGGCGCTGGAGGTCATGTGCTATGGTGCTGAGCCAGTATGGCGCCAAGCCAATATGGCGCTGGCTACTAGAGGTCATGTGCTAAGCCCCACCCCTCTTCCTCTGAGTCAAATTATGACTTCCTACTTCCCTTTTTGTAATATCCTTTTCCTTTGCCCATGCTCCTGCCCAATCCTGGTCTGCCATGTCAGGCGGTCCACCTCCCAAACCCTGCCTCCAGCCTGGGGCCATTTAACCTTTGACCCCCATGACAGGCCCTCAGAAGTCCCACATCTCCCTCTCTCCTTCCTTGTGGTCTTCTCCATAACTACAATAAAGGCATTTTATTTTGCTTTACTTCTCTCTGCGCTGGAAAAACCTATCACTTTCCTAGTATGTACAGGCCTAAATTTGATCCCCAGCGCCCTCAACAAATAAGGCTTCAAAAGTACTCTCACTCTAATAGGAACATACGGTATCTGTATGATGGCCCTGGCAGAAGGGGAACCATTCTGAGAAACCCTCCTGGTGATGCTAGGTCCTAATCTCATTTATGTTCGATGACAACACAAAGATAGTGATATGGTTTGGAAATGGTGTGTCTCCCAGAAGTTCACGTGCTTGGAGACAGGTCCCCAGTATAATGACAGTGACAGGTGGTGAGACTATTTAAGAGGTGGGGCCTAGTGGGCAATGATTAGGTCATGGAGGCATTATCCTCCTGAGTGGATTAATGTCTTTCTTGAGAGACTGAGTTAGTTCTTTGAGATTAGATTAGGTCTTTGGGAGTGAGCTGATAAAGCATGAAGCCCTCACCAGAACCCTAACTGGTCTTAGTGCCATGTTCTTGAATTTCCCTGCCACCAAAACTGTGAACCAAAACAAACCTCTTTTCCTTGTGAAGTACCCAGCCTCAGGTATTCTGTTATTGTAATACAAAATGGACTAAAACAGTTGAAGTGTTATGTATTTTCTTTCCACCTTTTTTAAATGAACACCAAGGTTGGATCTGGTGTTAGCATATGGCAATAGATGAGCTTGCTCTTTTTTAAAAACTTGTGATAAAATAAATATAACAAAATTTTACCATCTTAACCATTTTAAAGAGTACAGTTCAGTGGCATTAAGTACATCACATTGTTGTATTACCATCGTCACCATCCATCTCCATTAAGTAACAATTCCCCACTTCCCTCTCTGCCCTGGTAACCACTGTTCTACTTTTTGTCTCCATAAAAGTACCTATTTCAGGTACCTCATGTAAGTGGAATTATAAAGTATTTTTCCTTTTGTATCTGTCTTATTTAACTCAGCACAATGTCTTCAATGTTCCCAGTTTCTTTTTAAATGTTGAGGAACGAAGTCAGCCAGGAGGTGGGGTGAGAGGAAACTTTTTGGAGGTTCTTAGGTTTAAAAGAATCTTTCTCCTTCCTACTGGGCAGGAGTAATAGGTCAAAACAAGGCATGCAGGAAAGCACCACTTTGTTAAAATGCAGGTTTGTTAAAGCTGAAACAGTTTAGGCTTAGACACTGGTGAGTGCTGGGTGATGAGGACACAGACAACAGCTGAGTTTGAGATCTCAAGTTGCCCAGGGTTTTGCAGGTATGCATATACGAAGGAAATGAAGTAACTGGCACACAATTCCAAATTATCAGTTTCAATCATGTAGCAGGTTTAACCATATAGAATTGTTAATATCTAACTTTTCTAATCTACAAAAACAGCAAAAAAATGGCAACTCAGCCTATTATTTAAGGCCAACTTCTTACCAAGGGCTTAAAGGGTTACCTAATCAGATCCTGGTATTAAGGTAAAAATATGATAAACTTGGTCTTGAGCTGGAAAACAGCTGTCAAATGGTATGTGGATCGGACAAGACAAAAGCCAGTTTCCAGTGATGTTCTAATGCTAAAATCTCACCCATGATGCCCAACAGAGCACCTTCTCTCAGCCATTGCTAGGAGGAGGGTCACATAGTTGTAGGGAATAGGTGATTCCAAGATACAATGAATACCATTTTAATGAATGAATTTCTAAAATCCAGTCATTTCAGTATTAACCATTTTCCTGATGTAAAACCAGTCTGGCACTTCTATCACAGGAAGAATTTCTTCCTACTGGCCAAACTGACTTCTCTGTGTCACCATCCCATTGGCCTGGAGTCACCCAGGACCCAAGGTACCTTGTCTATGTAGAAAGTACTTCAACTCTTTGCAGATTCTTCTCCTCTCTACCCTTGGGCTTACCTGGCTCAGGCTCTATGCTGAAGTTTTCCCATAATTCCTGAGGGATGTAGTTATTCAGATGGCTCAGAAGCCAAGTGGTTTCTTTTTTATGAAAAAATAAAATTTCATAACAAAATAATACGAGGATAACAACAGTTAATACACTGTGTATCATTATCTTCAAAGTAGTTACTCAGAGCACAAGACATAGACCACAAATATTTTTACAGGGCTAGGGATACAGCTCAGTGGCACCTGCCTGGCAAGTGCGAGGTCCTGAGTTCGATTCCTAGTACCCCCAAAAAATATGTTTACAAAAAACAGATAACCCAAAAGTAGTTTCTGTTCAATGAATGAAGATAAATCAGTAGAATAAATGAAACAAATTAGTACATATATTACAATAGAATAAGTAATTTGGAGATGTCTTTGAACTTCTCCCTACTCTGAATCAATCAATCAATCTATTTATCTGTCTATCTACCTATAGCTATAGATAGTGATTTTATATAACAGAAACTATGCACTATTTAAGCTTGTGTGTCTGATTTATTTCACTCAACATTATGATCTCAAGTTGCATCCATTTACCTACGTAAGGCAGGTGCTTTTTAGATGCACTATGTGACTCTCATTTTTTTCCCAGACTCTTTTTTTGTTTTTGTAATTCCATATATACTTTTTTTTTCAATTTTTATCTTTTATTGGTACATGTTTGCTGTACATAATGATTACATTCCTGTGGGGAGTTGATATATGCACATAATACATCTTAATTCTTTTTTCATCTCCTTTCCCTCCCCACTCACTCCATCTATTGGGCCCTTTCCCTTTTGAAAAGATCTACATATTTCCTATTATCTATCTTCTATTTTGCTTTTTATTTATATTTTGTATTTCTCATAAAAGAGAAATCATAATATTTAAGCTTGTGTGTCTGATTTATTGCACTTAATATTACAGGTTCAAGGTGCATCCATTTTCCTACACTGTTTTATCAAAGAAAAATTATGCATAGAATCCCTCTGCTTGGATTTGCATTTGAATGTGTAGCAGGCTTTTTCAGCTGACATCTGGGCTAGGGTGTTCTGTTTCATAGGGGTAGTCCTGTGCACTGCAGGATGTTGGTCACCATCCCTGGCATCCACTCACTAAAGGCCAGTAGCAATCAGACCCCCTCACTGGGTTATGGCAACCCAAAATATTTCCAGACATTTCCAAATGGCCTTTCAAGGACAAGATTGCCCTCAGTTGAAAAACTCTTAAGAGGAGATAAACTCCATTTCTGTCCCTCAGATGTAAGTGGAACTGCTCTGGCCATAGGGTAGTGTTTAATTCCCATAATGAAACTGAGGCACACTTATGATCTGCTGAGCGCCTTGGCTTGAAAGGTAATATATGACACCTCTATGATTCAACATATGAGTCCTTAAGTGTTCTTTTTTTTTTGGTATCGTTTTTTTCCCGGTACCAGGAATTGAACTCACGACCCTGTGCTTGCCAGGCAGGCGCTGTGCCGCTGAGCTAAATCCCCAGGCCCCTCCTTAAGTGTTCTAATGGAGAAAGTCAGACTGGTGTCCCTTTCCTGATCATCTGGAGCTTAAATCTCCATTACATCTTCCTCATTCCTATTTATGTTTATTGAGTGCTGTCTACATATCCAGCACAGTACTAAGTGTGTATGTGTACTTGTGTACATACATGTATATGTGTGTCTTTTAGTCACTGAAAAACAGTATGACAGAGGTACTATATGTTACTTTACAGATGTGGAAACACAGCTTTGGTTAAATGACTTCGTGGCTAAGTAAGAGACAGAGCTAGGGTTTCAGTCCACATATACCTGACTCTACTCCTTGTCACCCTTCTCTAATTCCTTATGTTGTAATTAATGGTGGGGCAGCACAGGTTTGCAGTCATCAAGGTTCCAAAATGTTCTTTTTAGAACTGGTAAGGAGTAAGTACTCAGTAGCTATTAAGATATTGGTAGTGTTTCAATAGGTGTTAAAATAAAAATCCAAGTGAACCTCAGAGATAAGAATAAACCAAAAGGGGCTGGGGATTTAGCTCAGCGGCACAGCGCCTGCCTGGCAAGCACAAGGACATGAGTTCAATTCGCGGTACCGGAAAAAAACCAAAACCAAAATCAAACAAAAAAAACCAAAACCAAAAACCAGGAGGATGAATGATTCACAGGGGAAACCATCCCATTCTGCTCTCTCATGTTCACAGAACTCCACTGAGGACAGTTTTCCAAGGAGCTACCAAACAACTGTATTGAGGTTCAGAGAATGTGTACAAACATATGGCGAAAGATCTTTTCTTTAGTCACATCTTCCTTTCATGCTGTCATCTAGGACAGGCAGATCCTCTGTGTTGCTCCCCACAACTCCCTCCCAGCCGTCTCAGGCTAACAAGTGACATGCTGAGATGAGCGGCACCCAGATCTATAAACCCACCACCCATTCTGCCATAACCATCATGAGGATGTCTAAGAGAGACTCATTAATGCTTTGCTGAGATCAAAACATATTACTGACTTTCTTGAATATCATGTGATT